CAGAGTCAATAAAGTTTTACTTGCAATGAGAACGTGCAAGAGACTGTTTCATTACACTCTCTCACACGCTCTGAAATCAGTCTCTGCCGCCCACCTGCTTTTATTAACTTTGGGAGTCCTGGTTACACACTGTTTCAAACTCAAGGGTGGGGGTAAAAACGGTCCAAACATGTTTGACAAGATAAAGATGGCTAACAGAATATTCTGTTTCTAAGAGATAAAGACAGTTCAAGGATAAGGACAGAAAAGCAGCTGCAGCACATCAAAAACAACTTGTCCTCCCCAGTCTGCCAGAAGAGGGGGGACATGTTCTTGGCCTGCTCTGGTTTGGTCGGCCTTGGTTCCGAAGCTGAACTGCAAACAATATAAGCACTCAGAACATAGTTAATAAGAGGAGATAATATTATAAGAAGATGTGTACAAATATTCTAACATACTGTAAACTAAACAAATGCTTAAACAAGGGTTTATTTTCCCCCTTATTTCATTAAAGGCTTTTGAAGATGCAAGACCTGTTGTTAGATGGTTCAACAATCAACAGCAAGTTGGTGGAGGCTATGGATCAACGCAGGTAACACAAAATGTTTTGTTAACAGAAACCTTGCTTTTAATGAAATTTACTTTTTTATTGGTAATTAGAACCTTTTTTCCTGCTTCTCGTTTTTTTGACCAGGCTACTATAATGGTGTACCAGGCTGTGTCAGAGTATTGGGCTAATGCTCGAGAACCAGAATATGATCTGAATGTGGACATCTTGTTGCCAGGCAGATCAAAACCTKACAAATTCAACTTTAACAGGAACAGCCACTATGCCATCTTTGTTTTTGTAGGTGTGGAGCCAAGAAGTCGGGTGTGCTGTCTTGTGTTTTCTCAACATATATTTCACATATCTTCTAATCTCTCACTCTTTCTCATTACATTTCACTTTTTTCTTTCTCTTTCTTTTTATTCTATTAAAAAAAAGAACAACCACTATGCCACAAGAACATATAAAGTGAGATTAAAACTGGTTGTGAATACATTTCAGAATATATATTTATGTATATGTTCTGTGTATGTTTATATGTTCTAATAACATTTGTTCATGCATGGTTGTGCTTACATTCTTTACCCTCATAGATTAATGACACAAACCAAGATGTGAAAGTGACCGCAACAGGATCAGGAGAAGCCACAGTGAAAGCAAGTGATTTTTTATCTTTTATTTTTTATTATTTTTTTACACAGGTCTGATAGCACTTTGGCACAATGCCTAATCTTTGGCATAGCTGTGAAAAAATAAAATAAAAAACAGGGCTGAACTGCAATTTTTTAAAAAAAGTTTCATCTGAATCTAATAGAAGCACATAAAAAACATAAAAATAAATAAGAAGTACGTAGATCCTCTGAACCTGGGTTTTTCTTTAATGAAATGTTTCATCTCTCCTCCAAGAGATTTCTTTGTCTGAGGCATTCAGGTAGACTCATAAGCATTGCATTTAGATTACTAACTATACATTTTAATAGTGTTACTGTCTGTCTAAAAGTAGATCGTTAGTACCCTGATATTGTTAGGCTGATGGCCTTCTTTTGCATGTGAACAAAGTGTTGATTGCCATTGATAAACCTGTTTCTCCACCATGTGTAGGCACTGATTATAAGGATGAGTTTTAGGAAGAAATGGGCCAATATTATATTTTGTTTTCTTTCTGCTTCCATTTCATTATTGACTTGTTTTTTATTGTATATAGATTATTTTGTTTGTTTTTAAATTACAG